GAAAACCAAAAGTACACATCAACACATATAAGTATTTAGAATTTATTTTATCATGATGATAGAGACACTGGTAGGCTTCTACATTGCTTTGACTTTGTAAATATACCAATAAAGCATTGCCCAACTGATCGCTCTCTCTCTCTCTTTCTCTCTCTAGATATATATGTGTGCGTATGTGTGTGTATAGAGTGGTCTTTTGTTTTAATTGTGGAAAAACATGGATTTTGTGGTATTTTTAAAAATGGATTTGGGATGCTGCTGCAGCAGTCCAGCTGGCACAAGGGGTAGTGTGCCCAGGTACCAAGTGACCGGGCCCCAGAAATTCCTGAGAGTGAGTAGCCCTGAGCTGCTTGCCAGGGCAGCTTTTTATATGGATGGAGCCAGGACAGGGCAGCTTTTTATACTGCTGGGGACAGCACAGGTGCTGGACTCGGGCTCTAGCTCCCCCTGGCTGCAGATCTGGGAGGAGCCAGACAGGGTTATTTTGCCTCACGCGGCACAATTTGCTCCACAACAAAGTGTATGTCCGAGCATATGCACTGAGGTAAAAAGCCCCGGCTCAAATTTGCACCGCTTCTATTTGAGCTGCTGCAAGTGCATGTGCTTGCATGTGTGGATGCGCCCTGAGAGTTTACTAGGCATGGGCATGTGTAGACAAAACAAAATTTGAGGTGACAGTATGCATGTGAGCATAGGCCCAACCCTAAACAACTGTTGTTTACATGCTAGAAGAAAAGGCCATTAACAGGACAATCCATTTTCAGGAGAGGGACACCTGAATACAACCAAAGACTGATATTTTTTACTCTTGATCAGAATAAGAGGGAATCTATCTATCCCCTGAATAACTGTTAGCTAAGGATATTGGATTAGATCTGCAAAGATGTGAATATTCCTACAGTTCTTGGATAAAATTGTAAACCAGGACTGTCCTTTGGCCTGATAGAAAAGATGCTTATTTGGGAAGAGGAAGTCATACTCCCTAATAATTGAATAGAATATAATGAATGGATAAGGGGAAGGTACTTAAGGGATACCTTGGGGAAAGGTTCTTGGTATAAAGTTCTCTAGACAAGGTAAATGCATCCAGATGCATTTGGATGATTGAGTTCTGCAGCTAGTGCAAGCTGGGGTAACCAGTATTACAAGGAGAAGCTGCTCCAGGATTACCTCTTCTCTGGAAGAAGAGACCTATAATTTTTACAAATTGCAGTGGCAAGGCCTCACAAGCTAGCAACACTTCCTCCACTGGAGCTGTAAAACCTGGACTGAGACAGGTGAAACTAAGATTTATTCAATAAGAAGGTAGCCCAGAAGTAAATATTAGTTGTTTTTAGTGGATAAGCAGTGGAACAGTGGAGAGAAATGTGGAGCTGAAGGGCACCCCAAAGTAGAACCACCTCAGTTTGTTACACTACATCCAAATCAATCAACTAAATTGGTGGATCTGGCAGTTGAGTCTTGACAGGCATGAGTTGTGGGAAGAAATAAGCAACAATCAGAAAAAAAAAAGCCATATTAATGTGCCATTATGGATGCACAACACCAAGAGTGGTGATGGGGACCACCAGCACTATGCTTCCTTCCTCCTCCTTTTCCCTGCTTCAGACTTCCATAGTTTCTGCACCTCTAAACATATTGCTTAATGCACCAGACCTTCATATTTCTGAATGGTAGCTCTGCAATGTCCCACTGCATCCTACTGTCAAAGTTGTTTGTTTGTTGATTTGAGCCACTGTGAGGAAGAGCAGGGAGTAGATGGATCATGGTCATCACCAAAACTGCCTATTATCCAGAACCAAATTAGAGAAGAGACTGGGAAAATGAAGACCTGTAATTCACTGAAGCAGCTCCATGGGCCAGCACCATCCAGGAGGCAGTGTAGGCAAGATGCAGGTGTTTTTTGTACCTTGTATAATAACCATGCTCTGCACAGCAGGATGGCTGTTGCTACCACCAGTGGAATTGCATCAATAGTGAATGGCATTCTCTAGTTTCCTTACTCTAGGAGCAGTCAGGGTACTAAAAGCTAGTGCCGCTTTTACCCCACCCCTCCTCTGTGCACTGCTGTTTCTGAGGCACAATAACTTTGTGGGCTCCCCCTGGGACAGTGTGGCTGTCAGACAGCCATAGCCAGGCATTTTGATGCCTGATGCAGGTCATGTGCAGAGTGCTCCCCTACATGCGTCCATTTGATTTGGTGCCCCCCATGCAAATACACCCAGCGGTGGTGCACCACTGGCACTGTCCTTACTATGGTACTGGCAGCTGTGCGTGACCCTGGGGACAGCACTGAAATTGTACACTCTGTAGATAAAGAGCTAGACAATATTCTATGAGCATGGATCCAAAACACTAATGAACTAATTAAAAAAAAAATCTTACTGTCAGGTCTGGACACATGCTGTTATTGGCATGTTACACTCATATATAAAAGTAATTTACAGAGCAATGTAACCATATATCCATTAAACTGAGAGTGTCAAACATACAGCCTGTGGGCTAAACCCATCCTGATGCCTGGGACGTTCAGCTCATGAACTTTTGCCCCATCTCTGGCCGTGGTGGTGGGTCTTCCTGAGGTGGCAGCCAGAGTCCCTGGGAGAGCAGCACTGACCAGCACGACCTGCAGAGCCTTTGCCACCACCACCAGAGCCAGGACAAAAGACGGGTTCTGGCTGTGCAGGTGGGGTTGCTGCCCATGGTGTTGCTAGAGCTGCCAGCCTGCCTCACAGCAAAAGCTGAGGCACTGGCTGGCACTGCAGGAAGCTTTGCCGCTGGAGCTACAGCTAACTGCTGGGGGAACCCACAGTGCTGCTTACGTGTCCCCAGATCTTGCTATCCCCTCAGGATCTTGCTGTGCCCAAACTGCTGCTGTAGGAAGACCCACCACCACTGCCACAGTGCCAGCTCTAGTCTCAGTGAAGAGGCTTCTGTATGCCAAGCTGGTGGAGCTGTGTCTGCTGCAGCTCTGGCTATTGTGGCAGAGCCTCTGACTACAGTGTTGCTGGGGTTACTGGTGTGACCAGCAAAAGTGCTCCCAGCTGCTGAAGACCCAGCTCTGGCCACGTAGCAGTTTTAGCTCACTGTGCTGCTCAGGCTGCCGTGCCCTAGCTGTCACCAGAGTGCTGACTGCTGCTACAAGAAGCCAGCCAGCTTCCTGTGACAGCCTCAGCTCTGGCCAGGATGGCGCAGGGTCTCTCTCTCTCTATCTCTCTCTCTCTCTCTCTCTCTCTCTCTCTC